GTAAACATTAGTGGTCAGTCAGTTTAATAATGTTATATATTTAAAGCGTTTTCTGCGCCAGCTACCAGTGAAGCTTGAAGTGGACACCACTAATATAAAGATTGGATGGTTAAGCTGTTTTTCATTTGGTAAACACCTACTACAGTAAACATTCAAAGTGGTATGCAACATGAGCTTACACATCGACACGCACACGTCTTTACCAGAGGGCTCCCAGTGCCTTGATGGACTCCTACTGTTTTGTTTTCCTATGTGTTTTTATTTGTCATGAAAATGTCTGGATTCAAAAAGGCTGAATGCATATTTAGTGCATAGTAGAGGTCGACCGATTGATCGGCCGGACGATTTTTGGCTTTTTTTATTTTTTTATTATTAATCGGCATTGGCCGATTGTGCTGCAAATTAGGCCCATTTATAGGCAGGTGCATCTGCGGGCAGCTAAGCATTGTTGCGGAATGCCGAAGAATCTCTCTGGCTGCGTGAGAGACGGAGCAACTCGCACTCTGCAGCCACTTCTTGTTCACACACTGCTTCAGCTAATGATGTCAAGGCAAAACAGAACATTTCGAAAGCGTAATTAAGTTTTACCCTACTAGAATTGATGCCAGAAAGTTATCATATTCATAAGTGCAACAAGTCATTTGCATGTGAAAGTAGAAACACATGCAATTCAGACAACTTCTGGGCTGATTAAGAAAATCGGCCAAAAAATCTGCATCATATATCGGCCATCGGCTGCCCCGATTTTTAAATATCGGCATCGGCCAGTGAAAAACCCATATCGGTCGACCTCTAGTGCGTAGCAGTGGTGCACTTGGGCATCATGGGATTTCTAATTCTTAAGCATGTAAACAAGTGCCTTCCAGCAGCCAGTTTGAATACCACTTTAGACTGGATTGTGTAACGGGTCGATATTTACTGTCATGTTGAAGTAAACGTTAGAGTTTAATGCATGGATGGTACAGCAAACGGATACAGCAAAGATATTATTAAAGGAATAGTTCACCCAAAAATGAATGTTTGGTGAAAGTTTATTCGCCTTCAGGGTGTCCAAGATGTAGATGGGTTTGTTTCTTGATCAGAACAGATTTGGAGAAATTTAGCATTCACCAGTGGAACACTATGCAGTGAATGGGTGCCGTCAGAATGAGAGTCCAAACAGCAGATAAAACATCACAGTCCACACAAGTCCAGTCCATCAACTAACGTCTATAAGTACAAAGCTGTCTGTTTGTAATAAATCTATCATTAAGGTGTTTTTAACTTCAAACCATTCCTCTATCTATAATATTGCTTTCTCCAGTAAAAAAGTCGTCTCAATCAGGAGAAAAATATGCACAGATCAAGCAACGAAAACGGTTTTAATGTAAGAGGACAACGAGGGTTGAATAATTTTTTACTGGAGGAAGTGTTATGGATTGTGGACTCACATTTTGGCCAGAATTGTCCATTTAAAGTTAAAATGTCTAATGATGGATCCATTGGTAAGCAAAATTTGTTTAAATGAAGAAAGAAACTCCTCTACATCTTGGAATGCCTGAGGGTGAGTGTATTTTCATTTTTGGGTAAACTATTAAAAGTATACTTTTTTATTTTCTTTAGATTGGAGATGTATACAATAAGATGAAGTCAAGAATGTGCTAATATCAAACTCTCAAATGCATGTATATTGTACATGTAGCACAGGGGAATGTTCACAGTATCGTATGTTTTTTTTTCTTTTCTTCTTCTTTGGTGTCTGTTTTACTACTAAACAAGAGTGTTTTGAGTCCTTGAATTGCACCTTAATTCTCATCTGTATGGTTGTAGGTATATTGAGATCTTTAAGAGCAGCCGAGCTGAAGTACGGACACATTATGAACCCCCACGTAAAGGCATGAGCATGCAGAGACCTGGGCCTTACGACCGACCCAGCGGAGGAGGCCGGGGCTACAACGGCACGAGTCGTGGGGGATCCTTCGATCGGGTGCGACGTGGAGGATACGGTGGAGGTGAGACCCGCTTCTTTTCCCAATGTGCCACATTTGTGTGCTTTAGCCATCCTGCATGTGCTTTTTTTTATATACAGGTGCATCTCAATAAATTAGAATGTCGTGGAAATGTTCATTTATTTCAACTCAAATTGTGATACTCGTGTATTAAATAAATTCAATGCACACAGACTGAAGTAGTTTAAGTCTTTGGTTCTTTTAATTGTGATGATTATGGCTCACATTTAACAAAAACCCACCAATTCACTCTCAACAAATTAGAATATGGTGACATGCCAATCGGCTAATCAACTCAAAACACCTGCAAAGGTTTCCTGAGCCTTCAAAATGGTCTCTCAGTTTGAGTGACTACAGTGCGTTTTAACTTTGCACAATTTTTATTGTATATTTTCAAATTTTTCTTACTTTTCTGGTTGTCTCACATTTATTTCTGTACGTCTACAGGTAGCCAGGGTGGAATGAACAACAGTTATTATGGCGGCAGCCGTGGATCAGTCGGCATGAATGGCATGGGAGGGGGCTGGGACATGTAGATGCTCCTGAAGGAATTTATTTGAGTGTTGGGTCGTCTCGATTTTGCTGAGGCCTTCTGGTTTTTTTTTTTTTTTGATGATGACTATGGGAAGAATCAGATTCACTCCTTGCCCACCTGAACCTCAGCGTTGGAATCAGTATTATATTCCCTGCAATTCCTGAGGTGAAGGGTCAGCCGTCGAGCTCAAGTCATGGTGATTGTCCTCTACCCCACTAGTCATGCTTGTAAATATCCTCCAGATATATCGTTCAGAGACTGTAGAACACTGGCCTCGCATGGCACGAGGTGCTGCATCTCCACTTTTTCTAATGCGGAAAGAACTTTGTTGAAACTGATTTTTAAAAATAAACTGGAAAATGTTTTTGTTTTCTTGTCCGGCTGCTTCACAAGATGCATATTTTAATTTTCATTATTGTAGCTGTTGCAGTCCCCTCTGTTGGTTTGTCTTTGATTTCTCATGGTTAATAAACATTCACAAATGTATTGTCTCTGCTTTATGCACATTGTTTTTTTGTTTTTTTTGTTTGTGTGCAAGCATAATCACTGCATATTGTGATATTATATTTTTGAGCACAAGGTGGTGCCAGTGATCCAACTTCGGATTATCACGTTTATTAATCTGAAATGCATGCAATGCATATACTTAAGTAATCATTGACAGATTTAACTTTGTGTATAAACTTTTCTTTTAAGGTCTTCTTGAGCATCTTGACCAAATCTTTTACAGATGCTATATATAGGTTCCCTGCTGAAAAATTCACCAAACTTGTGGATAATCCCCAAACCAGCTATGAGTTGGTCATACCAGTTTCAAGTTTAATCTGTTTTTGGAACACAGTAGCTGGTCAACCAGTTTAGACCTAGAAACTAATTGCCATCTTAAAATTGACTATTATTGACTGGACCATAATAAACCTGTGACACTGCTGTCCCCTTAAATTAGTGTCGTGTCAAATTATCAATCAGTCTGGACCAAATCGAGGGGTGAGAACCAGAAGGGAGTAAGTGACTTTTCACCAACTTTACAAGAGGGCCAAAACAAAAACCAACTGGCTTCGTATGTTCAGAGTTAAGTCTTTTGGTTTCTAATAACTCTAAAATTATTAAGAATTCACTTGTGTCCTTTTGGCAGTAGAAAGAGCTCATCAAGAGCTTTCATTTGATATATCAGTCATTCTTGAGACGTTGGACAAAAGAGGTCCAGCAAGGGTAACTACTATTAGCTTTAAAAAATATTTTCAATTTTAAATGTCATGAGGGATTAATAATAGAATGTATTTAACACAATTATCACCTTCAATTTAATGTTCTCATTATTATACCAAATCTGTGTTTGTTAATGTCCTCTCACTACATCTAAAACAGTGTCCACAGAGAAGGGTTCAATCATGCATATGCAATAAAATGGATAAAAATGTTTTTTTTAATGATGAAAAAGAGCTTGTTTTATCAAAAGCAACACTTAATAATATCTCATATCAAAGCAAGGTTGTTGTTTTAATGACACATGCATGTTTCATAAGATTTTAAAGTTGCATCCCCACTTTTTGTCAACACCGTCAGACATTCAATAAAATGTTCAGGGAATATCAGGGGCAGCTGTCACTGTAAAGGAGTCGGACCCCCTTGCCACAGTTCACCTCTGCAGAGTACAGCAGTGTCAGACAGGCTCTGCTAAGTTTTATAGTTTTAGAATATTTTAAATCCTAATGTTAATATTTCCTGTGTCACAGCCATGATATGTCAACACCATCTTCCAATTTCTGAGGAAATTATTTGAAATATTTAGATAATTAAGCTTTATAAACAATATCATACTCACTGTTTGTTGTGTTTGTTTTAATACAGTAATTGACTGATTCAATGTATTTGATCGTTAAAATGATTACAAATTCAGGTTTTCGTCACCACCGTCTGATGTGTCAGTTGAATATTTTGATATTTCATTATGATATTTTATATTTGTTGTGGAATTGTTGGTCACATGTGAACGTGTAATCTGTCTGCTAACACCAGAATGTGTTTTGAAATGTTAAAAACATCTTGAATGCTGTTAAAGATAAAGCTGAAATTATATTACACAGTCCAAGGTAAAAAAAAAAAAAGAAGAAGCACATTTTGTTAAAAAAGAGAAAAGTTGGGAGGTTGTATCAAAGCATAGCTCAGTAGCTTAGTACATATAGGATACATAAATGTAGTTTCATTTGTCTGAGTACAAGGTTTTATTTTTTCAATTTTGCACCGTTTTGTCCCACTTCTCAAGAATGACTGATATATCTCCATTTCACCCAAAATGTCACTTACGCCCTTCTGGTTCTCACTCCTCGAAATGGACTATATTACAATATATTACCTTTGTCTTACGTGCTGCTGCTGATTGATTAGCTGTGGCCAGTGATTCATAAAAGGGAAGTGTGTGTGGGTCTATATAACTGCACCGGCTCACGCTCTCCGCACGAGACTTTTGACACAGTCCCCCACACGCGCATTGAGTCCAGATCGCGGACGGTGCTTGAGGCATCAATTTCTGATCCTGTAATATCTCGGATTCTACTAAAAGAAATATGAAGACGTTACGAATTGCGATCTTTCTCGTCCATTGTCTCGGTAAGTGTTTAAAACAATGGCTTCTTAATAACTTAACTTGCATGGGACCTGCCCAGTATGTGGCACTTTGTTACACGAGGTTCTTTCAAGCGACATTTTTCATTTAAAAAATATATAATTCGCTGCTATTAGTTGCTGTTCTAACTAGTTTTGACAGATTACTCATATAATTTTCTGGTTATTCCGTGTTTTAACTGAAGATTTTACACTACACGCGACGCGTATCTATAATCACCGTCAGCTTTCAGTTTTTTTCTTTTCTTTTACATATCGACTGTATGCAAGATACACAAAATATGCGTTTTATATATCTATAAAGGGTCTTGTTCTGTTCCAGTGTTACTCAAGGTGTGCAGTGGCGCCTCTGTGGACAGGTTTGAGAGTGCCAAACCCAGAACAACAGTGGTCAGCCTCTTTCACACCCTAGAGAAAACAAACCCGACAGGGCAGCAGGTGGACAGAGGGACGAATGTGTATGAAGAGCATGATTATGATGAAGATTATGATCTCTCTGTGGATTATGACTCAAACCAACCAAGAGGTAGACTTGCTTCATTTCTCTTAAAAAGGGGTCATATGATGTGATTTCAAGTTTTCCTTTCTCTTTGGAGTGTTACAAGCTGATTGTGAATAGATAAGCTCCCTAAAGTTGCAAAGACTGAAGTCTCAAAACCAAAGAGATATTCTTCGAGAGAGAGAGAGATTGAAATTGAATTGAAATTGAGAGAGAAAGGGGGGGAGGGGTCACATCACAATGGAGTCAGCTGTCTTAACCGTGGCTTGTGTACTGCAAACACATACCAGCTTCATCACTGTGTCTGTCACGCGACTCTGTTCCCCTTTCGGGCTCTGTCTTTACATTTATTTTGAAAGATGAAGCCCGCGCTTATGGTAAGAAGCGTTACATTTCCGACGAGTGCTTGCAGTGTTCGGCCAATCACAATGCACTGGGTCAGCTGGCCAATCAGAGCAGACTGCGCTTGTCGGAAGGAGGGACTTTGTAGAAAACGAAGCGTTTGAGAGAGGCAGGGCATAGAGGACCTACAATAATGTACAGTATTTGAAATATAATGTGTTTTTTGAACATTAAAGCATGTCAACATATTCTGTTACACCAAATAATTATCTTTAAAAAAGCATCATATGACCCCTTTAATGCAATTTGTAAAAGTGGTCAGCCAGTGCTTTAATGTCCAGTGCTGATACAGATGTCTTCAATAAACACACATTTTACACAACAAGTACTCCAAAAATATAACATGGTATAGTAAATATAATGTATGCTTTATAATATACTTTTTTATATATAAATTGTAATCACACACTAGGTGCTATTTGCGTTTAACCAATTTATTATAATTATATTATTAAAAATAATCAAATTAAGTGTTGTATACTTCCACAGGAAATGCTAGTGAACATGTGAATATATGAACTGAGTGCATTAGACTATTGTACGATATTAGATCATCATGGACTGACATCATCGCTCTTTCTCGCTCAACAGTGGCATTTTCCACCAAACCCAAACATCCGTCAGCGATTCCCACTACTGAGAAGAAGACAAAAAAAGGAAAAAGGAAGGCCAAAGGAAAAGGCAAGGGAAGAAAGAAGAACCCATGCCTGGAGGAATACAAAGATTTCTGCATTCATGGAGCGTGTCAGCATCTGAAGGAGTTGAACACTCATTCTTGTGTGTGAGTTTCATGCAGTTTTTGTTCAACAAATTAAGCACATCTTTTGTTTTAGGCTCAACCTTTGCTTTTATTCATCTAGCAGACATTTGTGTGAGGAAAAAAAACCAAGCAGTTAATCATATAAAGGCCCCTAATATATCAGGAATATTACAATATACAGTTTGAATAGCAGATCAGAATAGCACAAAATTAGAGCAAAAAAAGTAAAACAGTTAGAGATAATAGAATTATTGCTTTTACAAAATAGGAGTTTAATCTAAATGAATTTATTTTGTCTCTTGATATGATTCTCCTATTGTGCACTTAAACTAATTTAGATCTTTTGACTTGTGTTTCTTACAGATGTAAAGCAGGATACTCAGGAGAGAGATGCCATATATTCACGCTACCAGTTATTAAGAAGGAACAGCGTTACAGCCGGACCACAGCTCTAGCGGTCATAGCGGTGGTCCTGTCCCTCATGTGTCTCGCAGTTATCGCTATTCTGCTGGCACTAAGGTAGGTTACCATGAATCAGCATTATATTATTCTTAATCATTAAACCATTGTTGTTTTACAAAATTCCTTAGATATTCAGAATGGTTTTCTTACAGGTACCACAAAAAAGATGACGCTGATGTAGAAAGTGAAGAAAAGGTCAAACTTGAAGTAACGTCAGTGCAGAAGTGATAAGGGAAGAAAGGTAAATAGTTCTCAATTAATGGCCAGGTTTTATTTGTTAAATATTCAAATTAATGTAAAATCATATTTTTTACTGTTTTACAGGAAGAAGAAACCCAAAAGGACATGTGACCCATGGATAGATAGCACTGAGGACTGAGGAGTAACCAGGGGCACAAATACTTTTCAAAAATTCGTGCCCCCGTTCAAATTGTCTTACAGTCATGGCGGCTGTCTACACTGGCATGAAGGATGTTTTGAACGCTGCTTCCATGTGCAGTACAATGTCCTTTTCAACCTATTCTCCTTGTGGAGAACATACAGAGAGGACTGAACCGGATGAATGTGTGGCAACTGTAATCAAGTTCCTTTTTTTTATTCGTTGCTTTATTTATTTATTCTAAAAAGGATATTTCTGGTTTCTCCCATCAGGTTAAATCTATAGTACTGTCGGAAACACCACAAAGCACTTGTAATTATTTATTTATAATGGTTATTTATTTTGATATGTAACAATTTTGTAAATGTGTTTTTATTGTGTAGATATTTATTATTGATAGATACAATCAAATACACTCAAAAAAAATGCTGGGTTAAATACAACCCAGCGCTGGGTAAAATATGGACAAACCCAGCGATTGGGTTGTTTTGACCCTGCAGTTGGGTTACTGCCCAGAAGGTTGGGTTAAACATTTAACACAACTGTTGGTTGAAAACAACCCAATAGCTGGGTTTGTCCATATTTTACCCAGTGCTGGGTTGTATTTAACCCAGCATTTTTTAGAGTGTAATGTTCTAATAGGACTGAAGTTGCATGACAGACTTTGCAATCACATATGGAAGACCCAGTAAAGTTTTAATAATATTATAGCTAAACTGTGACGTAAACAGATTTGCGGAGCTCTAAAAATGCAATCAATTAAATCATGTACTGTGGTGGGATGTCAGACGCAGGGCTTTGTAGGTCTTACTGAGAAAGTGTAGCTTAAATTAAGTGAAATTAAATGGAATATGTTTATCAAAGTATTTTAAGTGCTATGTGTATAGTATAAAATAACATGATTTTATTTACTAATTTTAAGCAATGATTACATTTACATTTAGTCATTTAGCTGACGCTTTTATCCAAAGCGACTTACAAATGAGGACAATGGAAGTCATCAAAATCAACAAAAGAGCAATGATATGCAAGTGCTATAACAAGTCTCCGCTTAATGCAGTACACGAAGCAAGTTTTTTTTTTTATTATATAATAAATAAAAAGAAAACATAGAATAGAAAAAGAATAAAGCAAGCTAGTGTTAGAGACCTTTTTGCTTTTGTTAATTGTATAATAAATAGATAGAATACAAAAAGATTAGAGAAGCTAGTGTTAGTTAGTTTTTTAAGAAAATAAGCAGTTAGTAAATGAATGACTTGAGTGCAAGTCTATAAATTATTTTTTTAATAAAGAATAGAATTAGAATAGAGAGTGCTAGAGTTAGAGGGTCAAATAAAGATGGAAGATATGTGTTTTTAGCCGATTCTTGAAGATGGCTAAGGACTCAGCTGCTCGGATTGAGTTGGGCAGGTCATTCCACCAGGAGGGAACATTTAATGATAATAATGATGATAATAATAATTTCAATGATAACCAAACATTTTCAACCAATGATATTACTGCTGTTTCACTTTAATAAACAATTGTGCAATAAACATTGTGACTTTCTAAGTGTGTGTGATCTTGTGTTCAGTGTTTATATTAGTAACTCTGGAAAGATGCAGGTCTGGTAGAATATTTGTCACTTTTTTTCTCGATTTAAGTGCAGTGAGTCGGGATATGTTGGTATATGTAAAGGCATGTTGTAAGGTTTAAACTACTGAAAGGTCACTGGGGTGAGTATGGATATAAAAATGTTATGTGGTGACATACATCTCATATACATTTGTATACATGTTGATAATTACAAAGGTTTTCTTGAGCAATGTCTCACTGAGGTGAAACATTTCAGATGTAGTGCAAAATTGGCTGTAAAAATAGAAAGGGCAGCACAAATTATATGCTTTTGAAGCATTTGTGGCATTGCCACTGTAACAGCATTACATATTTACACTTACATTAACATCACATTGAATAAATAAGTTTTACACACGTTTAATATCTTGTCACTTGTGTACTGTGCGATTCCTGTGCTGCCCTATTTTGAGACTGAGGCTGTCTATAAACATACCGTGCTGCCTATCTAGGGAGAATTTTTGAGAACCCTCTGTTTATTCGAAACTGAAAATGCTGTCTAGGAAGTACGCTCACTAGGGTTTGCAACGATCTTGCGCATGCGCAGTGACTCGTTTTACTCAGCATCATGGCGGCTCCCGTAGACCTCGAGTTGAAGAAGGTAAAAAGGGGTTTACAGATTTATTCATAGAAACTACACGGTTTTATTGCTTCGTCAGAATAAATTTAGCAAGTAAAGGGGGTTTTAAGCTCAGTTAGATTAGAATTATGGTATAAAACTGTAAAAGCAATGTGATATACCAACATGCAACCTCGGTGCATTAGAAACCTGTTCATTTTTATTTATAATATCACAATGTCAAACTATCACAGGCATTACACTTTTACTACTGTGAACCCTTTATAAATTAATATGTATACATACATAAAATGGTGTAGGAAGCTTACAGAATATATCTCTCATTTTGTTTAATTGTTGGTTATTTGACGTTAACTTTGTTGCTGGGTATAAGGAACTACGATATTTTTGATGCAATCTATGATTACCATTATAAACGTTTTGCAAAAATAGGAAGACTAGTATAAAGCTTCTGTCATTGCTGCACTTTAGTCCATATAGTTGAGTATGTAGTACCCTTCCTCAGGTTCCTTTATAATAACTTTCTCATTCACATCTAAAACAAACATGTGTTTAAAGGTATGAGAAGAGTTGATGATATTGCATTTAAAATCTCATTTAACTCAAACTGCAATCTACACATCTGTATGCCACAGGCCTTTGCAGAGCTGCAGGCTAAAATGATTGACACCCAGCAAAAGGTGAAGCTGGCTGACCTGCAGATCGAACAGCTGAGCCGCATGAAGAAGCACGCCAACCTCACACAAGCAGAGATCACGTCACTCCCTAACACCACCCGCATGTATGAGGGAGCGGGACGCATGTATGTACATTTTTGTTGGTGTAAAAGCTGCCCTGAATGCAAATTTTTTACTCTGTTCATTGTTTTGACCACCTTCTCACTTTTTTCCAGGTTCATTTTACAGTCAAAAGATGAGATCGCCAATCAGCTTTTGGAAAAGCAGAAGACGGCAGATGAGAAGATCAAAGAGCTTGAGGTAAGTTAGGAGTACAAAAACATGTCAGTTACACACGGTCATGCACCTCAAAGCTGTGTTAAGCAGGAATACTGATTTACATGTCTACATCTGGTATTAACATCCATCTGTTGAGATCCAATCACAAGTGTTCAGTGTTTAGTACAGGTATAAACAAAGTAAGTCGATGAACCCACATTTTAGAAGTGTTGTATGTGACACACGGCATTAGTGTAAATTAGGGCTGTGTATCACCAGCAATGTCACGATACGATACGTATCATGATACAGATACCACGATGCGATACATATCACGATATAGAGGCCACGATACGATACGTATCACAATACATGACTGCACTGAATTTCACCTCAGTAGAATTTAGAAAAACAGCTGTTTATTAAACACTGCATACTATAGTGCCATTTCTAACTATTGGCAGAGCAGGCAGCTGACCTCTGCATTATGAAGGGCCTCCATAACTGTACCACAGTACAATATAGGTAATGGCATATGTTTCATGTTTACATTGTGCACTCCCCACCAGGTACAATATTCTGATTGTTTGCATCTTGTTTTTAAGCCCATAAATAATAATGTACTTGTTCTAATAAATTTATATTGTCATGTACTCAATCTAATATATTTAAAAAATCATTTACATTGCTGGTAGGTTATCATTGCACAAATTAACACACTCTACAATAAATAAAAAAAAAATGAGAAGAGTTCTAAACGCGCTGTCTTCACTGTATCTAACCCACTCACGCTCAAGGCTGATTTATACTCGACGTGTCCGCAAGTTCGCTTTGACTGCGCGCAATGTCGTTTCGCGTGGCGGTGTGCACATTTTTTCGAACTTTCCACGCAGGTCCGCTTCCGAAGATGCACGAGTTCAAAGCAACTCTAGCCGAACGTGCACATCTGTGCCAGCATTTATGTGAAACAGAAGCAGTTTGATGTTAAGTTCAGTCACACACACAGATCACGTTGCGGCGCGAACTCAGACATTCAGGAACAAATTTTCTAGCGCTGCCCCGCAGTTTTATCAACTAAATAGCTTAATCGCTCGAGCTACATTATCTTTCTCAACAAGGAGCTGGTAGCATCATTGTTTCTAAAGGAATTAAAGCCACAGCTTTACTGTTAATAGAGAAACGCGGCAAAACGGTGGTAATTCATACATACACAGCCTCTCTCTCTTTCTCTCTCTCTCTCTCTCTCTCTCTCGGTGTGTGTCATAAATGAACACTTGATGAATTACACTTTTCTGAGAATAGAATATTGAAGTGGAGATCGCTAAAATGCAAGCTAACCAGTGTTTTCAGAAAGCAAGCGCGTTTATCCACAGTGGAGAGAGAGCGCGTGTGCACATGGTTGACAAAGATAAGTAGCACACTTAGCAGATATTTGCGTATTGCGCAAGTTTAAAGCTCTGTTTTGGGGTTTACGTCTCTTTATGTCAGGCAACCCAGTTGTGTTTCTACAACCCAGTTGTAGCCTATATATGCTCTATTCATTCTTTTTTAGAAACCTAGCACTTTTCTACTCAATTTTAAACATTGTAAAATTTTAAACAAATTAAGCGCGGTCCACTG